CATTACCTGTAAAGGCTTTGAGTGGAGTGTCCAGAAAAGCGCTATATAAGTGTAAACAATTATTAATTATTATTATTATAAGACACCACACTCTCAAGCTTCATACTGCCTCACTACAAGTGAGACTTGCTGAAGGAGCACTCATCTTTCCCTGACATCACTGCAAGCCTGCAGTTGCTGGACAGAAGTAACTTTTTTGTGGCAACTCCTGAAACCCTGGCCAACTAAACCCAGCTCAAACCAGTGCACCTCCACTAACAACCAGCTACAGGTTGCTAGTGATACTGCTCATACATTTACCCCCAATGTCTGGACTGGCTCACTCTTATCTTTAATGGCTGAGGAATTCAAAGCCGTTGAAATCAAGTGCAGTTTCAGTTCACTAGAATTGCTACCTTCAGAATATTTTTAGGAGGTTTTGTTAAAAAACACTCTCAAGTCCTATAACGTGCTCGTTCAGTTCTTCAAGTAAGAAACACATTGAATGAACATTACAGGAAGGATATCCAGTTACATGTGCCTGTCAGCAAGGTTATTGATTTTTAACGAGGTGAAAATATAATGCCTGTATTAAGTTACAGTGCCTGCTCAATTAACAACCAACGCTATAATTATAGACCTCAATTTACAAGTGACACATTTTTTAACACATACTGAATTTCCAGGGGGTACACTGACTTATCTCAAGTGCCTTCCTGCTTGTAAGCTAATCAGTCTTACTGTGGATCTAGATGACAAGACTTCAGAAAACAGATATTAATTTTTACACATAATAAGAGAAGCAAAGTCTGCATTTAAGGGTGAAGAAACAGTGTCTTCCAGTCATCATCTTAATCAGCTGGGTAGTAATATCTGTCAACACAACTGCAAACTATGATCCAAACTACCTAATGTTAACACACAGCTCATAAACCGAATTGGGACACTAACCATTTCAGTCGCATGACATATATGTGTCATGAGGAGATTCATTCGAAACCCATAGCAGAGAGTGAGATGAGCAAACTGTGTAGTGGGTGAAAAAAGTTGTTAAGGCTGAGCAAAAAAGAACAATTGAGGATAACTAGGAACTGGACACAAAGCTTTCCTGGACCTCACAAACACAGGCAGGCACAACAAAAGCAGCCTAAAGAGGCGAGATAATCTGATTGAACAGGGACAAAGACACTAAAGACCATATCCTTTACTGCCCTAATGCTGCCAGGAAAAGAATTAAGCAGACAATGACAGTCATGTGTCCTATAGAAACCTGAACAAGATCACGGAGGTGCAGCAAAAACAGCAGCTCAGGGTCAAATCTTTGTTACTGTTTTTAACTTTAACTTGGAACAGTCAGCATTTTTCTTCACACACTCCCCTCCAATTTGGAAAAGCCAATGCAACACTCTGTAGGAGTGTGGCCTGAAGAAGGTGCATGCTTTCATCTGAAACGTACATTTCTCAGAATCAGGTGCTGCAGATCGCATGGTGGAGCTTGTGCAGAATAATGAGCATGAACTGGAAGAGAGGAGATCTTGTCAGTGAAAACACTACAAGCTAGCAAGTTTTGGGTTAACTTGCAGGACATCGCTACTGCGTGACAAGCTAAGGGTAGGCGAGGCCACCCAGATACAGCTACACCTGGTATCTGTGCAACCTCTGTTTGGAGACTGTAAAGCAATATGTAATGTCATAGGTCATAGGTCATAGGTCAGAATCAAACCATCGATGTCTGGACTACAGTGCTTAAAGGAGGTGTGCCTTCATGGGTGGAACCTGCTACTCTCTCCACTTCTAGAAGAAGTTCCAAAAGAATATTTCGATGGCTTTGGGGAAAGTAATTTGGGGTTATTAATAGGGCTACAGTATGTCAGTTCTTGCATTTACTGAGATTTTCTGTAAGAGGGCTTTTTTAATCTTTTCTCACATAAGGTTACTGTGCTGCTCCCTGGTTAATGTAAGTTATAGTAAAGCACAGGGTAAAAAGTATAAAGCATTGAAATGCATAGAGAGGAAGTGTCCTGTGTGTTATGAACCATGCTATGCCTTACTTCACTATGGTTTACTGTGGTTCACAATATAATCACTTTTAACTATGATACACCTTCGTAAAAGGTACAAAGGTGATAAAAAAACCTTGTCTTTGTCTTAAATGGTCTATTCCTGAACAAAAACAAGGGAGAAGGACAACACATCTCATTCCAATGCCCTGACAAGAATGGCTCTGATGTTTCTCTGCCCTATGGTCTGTGTTAAGTTAGTCCAAGAAGCAAAAATAAGATAAAATATGCTTATGTAGTGTGTAGCGTTGTGTAGGGAATTCATTTTGTTATGAAGAGACATTTACAAAAATTCCAACAATTATTTTTTATTGTAAATAAAACTTCAAAGTGAAAAAAGTCATTTTTGTACAAGTTGACTTTTTTCATCATCTGTAACAAACACCTTATCAAAAAAGAAAAAAAATACAAAATGTGAGCACATATTCAGAAGAACAGACACACATAGTAAAAAGAGAGAAGAGGGGAGAAGAAACAGGGGGATATTATTCTGCAGCTATCAATGCTGGTATTGTATTTTCTCTTGCCTGTCTTAATGTAGCTGGTCTGAAAGAGGCGCTAGGCTAGGCGTTCCACAATGTAAACCCAAGCATCAAAATGATCTTCAGGTCATTTGTCTCATCAGTCTGTTGAAAGTGCAAAGCTTGCTTTTAAATTATTTAATATTTGGGCAGAAGCCTCAACCAATGAAACTCTCTAGCTTGCTGATGACAAGATTCCTAGGGAGAAATCAAAGACTCATCAAGTCATTTCACGCAATGGCTAAGAAATAAATCTTATTTCCATAAGTAAACGATTGTGACAAACAATTACAAATTTTAAGTAAGCATATCTACAATGTTGCATTCACATCTCTCTACACCTGTTTGTTGTTTAACAAGTTCTGGTACTTTAGTACAACTCCCTGGAGTGGAAATATCAGAAAGCTCTTCTCTCAACATCATGATTTGTTCGTGGTATCATAACAGTTTATGTTGTCTAATGAACTTGGACTGTGCACATGTAGGTATATAACCTTCACAGCATTTATACTGAAGCTTTAACAAATGAAAATACCTTTGCATAACTTGAAACTGCTTAATGCCATATGATTCCAATGTTATAGCTGATCCATTAAAATCCTGATCCACTGTGACCTCCGTAGTCTCTATTCTGAACAACAGAAAACATGCTTTTGCATGTTTTGTAGCATTTGCAATGATACAACCTTTTTGATATAAACACCCACGAGCCGTGATTTGCCTGTGCCTGCACACTGACAGATCTCTCAAAGAGCCTGCATAATAATCTGCTCTCAAAACATTCCGGTAAGATGTGATTTAATGCCAGCAGATTTGTCTCCAAATAGTACTTATATTTTTCTTTACTTTATGAAGTTTGGATCTTGACCCTGTATGTAAAGTTATGAAACTGCTGTAAAGACTAAATGCAGTTATATTTATTACAATCCTGATCAGATGCAATGCCTCTAATTTCATGAAGACTCTCTGTAGTCAGATTTAAATAGGTTGTAGATACGGCATTCCATGAAACTGATCTACATTGGTTAGGCACTTTAAAATCAAAAGGGAAACCTGTCTTTGTAAACTTACTGTAAGCACTCAATGTAAACTGTTAAATTACGTCGGTATGAATTCAAGTCTAGTGATCTCTTTCCTTTTAATTATTCATTGTAATAAAGCGCCAAAGCAGATTCAGTGTCGGGTATTAAATTAAGACGCTCCTACTGCAATTTGCCAACATCAGCTAAGAATATACTAATGTCAAACATCGTGTATGAGCAAATCAACACTTGCTTAGGAAAGCATCCCTAGTTTTGATTTCCCAAATGCAGAATCCCAGTAGTTACTGAAACAGCACAACATGATACCAGCTCCAGTGCCCAATCCACTGACAAATCCAACCCAAAACACTGTAATTTCCCTTTTGAATGTTTGGGCACACACAGAGTGAAATAATTTGGCACGTGATTCAGTTTTGAAGCACTATTTTGTTAAAACTCAGCTTATGATTTTAGCCATTTATTTTAAAATAAATATATTCACATCTTTATAAACTGAACATAATACAGACCATAAAACTTCATCATTCATATTTTAAGCCTAAGAAGAGAAGGAAGAAAGAAGCATAATCCCATACTTTTTCAGACCTGAGGTTTAGGGACAATCAGCATTGGTCTGTGCATTGCCCATTACATACTGTATACCATATTCTGACAAGAACCCCACCCCCTAACATCCAGGGAACTAACTCTTATTAACATTACAGCTTTAGCAAGTTGCAAAGTCTGAGGGTTCAAAATTGCCTACACCTAACTTGCAACAATAGCTTGGTTTAAGCTAAAAGTTATTATTAGTAAACAAATTGCCGAGTGAAATAGTGAGCAAAGTTGTCTACATTTAATCTGTTGTCAGAAGCCAAAAAAAAAAATCCTCAAATCTAGTTGTTTTCCTATTTCTTTAAAACACTGACTGACATCACTACTAACAATAAATCAACAATTATTGCCTGCAAGTCTCGGTATCAAAAATTACAAATTGGAAAGACATCCCTTATTTAGGACATCATGCAATTTTTTCCTGTGAAATTCATGACTCATTCCGTCTTGTTTAATGACACAAACATCTCATAATTCACAGAGGACAGGATTTACCTAGTAAATACAGAGCCCTTTAGAAGCTACAATCAAGTATGCCTAAAAAATTCTGTATTAAAATCAACCCTTATTAATTCAGATACATAAAACTGGAAATGGTCATCCTTGATCCAGAGAGGTATGCCAATAGCAAACATAAAACCTTTAAAACCTCCACAAAATTATAAGTGACAATGTAACCGGCCTCAGAAATGCTCTTGGCACCACCCTCCTCTCGGCATCACACTGTCACACCATGTACATGCATACCTCCACTAGCTACACATAGCAAGTCCACAAATTGTCTAGAAAAAAACATTACAGTCTTAGTAAAGAACTCGGGGATCTGGAAACTCCGGTAAGTCTTTTATCATATCATGGCCTCAATTTTATTGATCATGGTTTTTACGGTTTTAATTAAAAGGTGTGATTAAGTTTTTACAATCGACCCATCCATAGTATTCACTTATCCTAGAGAGACAGCACCACATAGTATACTTCATTCAAAGAACAATAGAAACTTCAGCTTTCCAAATATCTGTAGTATGGCTGAGCAGTGTTTTCAATGAAAGCTCAAGGCGCAATGAAAGGACAAGGAAATGTCTGTCATTACAGGTTTGATTTCACACGATGTGTGACTGAACAGTCGCCTTCAAAGGAATGAGTCTATCCTGCTGCAGTCGTTGAGGTCACCTGGAAAAGAGTCGCCAAAGTCAAACAGCTGGTCCAAGTTGACCGCGGAGCCAGACAGAAAGCCGCTGTGGCCTTCCCCCTCCTCCTCCCAGGGGTTCTGGAGGAAGGCAGTAGCCAGGAAGGTCTCCTCGTCGAAGTCCAGGCTGCTCTGCTGGGTCTCGGAGAGCACGTGGGGCAAGCTGCCGTCCAGTGGAGCCCACTCCTGAGGCCGGTCGATGTGCTTTCCCCTCACAGTCAGATCCGTGTCCTGCACGATGGGGCTGAGAGAGGGAATGCTGTCCAGGTTGTCACTCAGGTCTCCAGTCAGGGCCGAGTCAAGTATGGCGTCCCAGTCAAAGTCGCCTTTCAGAGACCCCAGCTCCTTCTGCTCCTCCGCCGACAGCAGAGGGGAGCTGGATCGCCGAGGGGCCTTCATCGCCATCCTCTTGGGCAGCGGCTGCTTCCTCTTCTGTCCGCCCTTCCCATGCTCAGAGGGATCCCAGTTCTGGTCACCCGTGGCCTCCTCAAACTCTCGGAGAAGGCGCTGGGACTCCTGACTGATGCACAGCTCGCTTCCCCCAGCGGGCAGGTGGGCGACAGGGGAAGGCGCCCCAGAGGAGACCCTGGCTTGAAAGGCAGGGTTGATCTGCACGGGCGGCATCCTCCTTTTCTTGAATGCGCCACTGAGCAGCCGGTCGGCGTACTGGGGGTCAATCTTCCAGAAGCCCCCCTTCCCCGGCTCGTCCTTCTCACGAGGGACCTTGATGAAGCACTTGTTCAGGGACAGGTTGTGCCGGATGGAGTTCTGCAACACAAAAATGGACCAACGCTACGGTTATCAAGTCGACTGTTTAAGGAAGGTCTGCTCCAAATATTTAAAAAAAAAATCACATCTGAGTGGTTTCTCTACAATCTCAGCACAGGTGATTGTGAAAATACAGCCTGTCTCATGCATGCTAAGCACCATGGATTCCATGACAGGAAGTGCAATGATTCTGAAGTACGTACATCACATTGCTGCCTTCTGCATGAGAGCTATATGAGCATCAGGATGGAGAAATCTAGCAATAAAACTTTTATTCTTAAAGAAATAGGATTCTGCAAAGACATCACACAGGAATTTTAATTAAATATTTTAATTCAATATTGACAACCATGTGCTGCAGTGCAATTACAATTTGCCAGGGAATGCTCTTAAGGGCTATCACAGGAACCAATCAGGAAGAGGTTGAAAGATGTTAATTCTGATTCTACACTGGCAATTCATCTAGTGAACAAAATGTTCAGCACAGCACCTGCTAATCTGGCATGAAAAGAAAAGACATTTCTGAAAACATGAATTTGCACTTAAAAGTGTAGAAATGCCACCCTTAGCACTGGAGGAAAAGCTTTGAGCCTTGGATAAAAATTCAGCAGGGATGAAGTCCTCAGTGGGAGGGTTTGACCACTGGAGAATTGCATGCAAAGTACGGTTGTTGCTCCGATACCACTATGGTTGATTAGCCACAGTACCTTGCCCTAATGCAAGTCAACCGTGGCAGTCAGCCCAGAGCTCTCAAAATATCAAGCCTCCCACACAGAGTCCTCCTACCCTCTCCAAAAATTGCCCATCCTGCAGCTTGGCTTCTCTCCAAAGTACACAGACCCTTGTGAATACCGAAAGCAATCTGAGGATACTATGTTTCCTGGATTCTCCATTCCACATCTCTTAGCAGTGAATTGCCCAGTAGGCTTGAAATGAGTGTGAACTATCCTGTTTCACAAGAGAATGCGAAAGTACCCATCTTTGGCAAAATGATAAAACTTTATTTAGTGGAACACCTAAGATCAGCCAATTATTAATACGATCCCATTAATGTTTGACAGGGAATGAAGAAACAATATGATCTCCCTACAGTGAAAAAAAATGCTGATGAACAGGAATTTCAAAAGTGGTTCTTTTAAATGTTTAAAAAACAAAGTGTTGATTTTGCCTTTCAGCAAATTGAGAGCTACTGTTCTGCTATCAACTTTTACATGTTTGTATCTGCTCTGTACATTTGGAAATAGCTGTTGTAATATTCCCTTCTCACGTTCAATTTTTTCTATTGTTTTTCAGCTGTGTAACATGCAGTCGTAACTTTTTCCAAAGTAACTGTGATCTGAAAATATACTATAGATGCATAGAATATAACTACAAACTGTTGAGTTTACAAACTGGTACTTGCTTGACATCCTCTTATACTTTTCATTTACCTAAATTGCTTCTTTTTATCACAAGTGAAGATCCAGAATCAAATGAAGTGAATTTTGGATCTTCTATTGTTCTTGCAGTAACAACACGTCATCATACTGTAGCAATTCTTATATTCATGCACAATGTCTTAAAAAGCAATCTGTCCCAGATCATTCTTCTGATATCTTGCATATTTACTCAGTAAATGAATTACAATTCACATGTGCGCAGACAGTCTCTACACAGTGACCCTTGCCCAGCTTCAAGAATGGGCCATGCAATTTCCTACATGGGCGTTCCACAACAGAAATATGCACAGCAAAGTTAATTTGTCACAACTGCACAAAATCATCCGCATAAATAAATGACCTCACTCTTCTTTTTCCAGTAATCAACTTTTATGTCTAAGAGTACAAAAAATGGTTGTGTGCTTGGACAATTTAATTAAGGTAATTCATGAGGATTTATAATAAATTAAACATTCTTTGTATGTCTTTAAATAATGTTGAGCATTATCTGGAATGATCTGGAATTTTCTCTGTTTTCAAACCTGAAAGCAATCCCAAATGCAATCCCAAATACTCAGATAGCAGTGGCTGTCTGTGTATACTGTACAGTGGAGTAAACATGTTTCCATTTCAATTACCATATGTGGGAATTAGCAGGAAGTGAACCGGTGCCATAATCATTAAAGTCCTTATGTCTATTTCTGAAGCACCAACGTCTTGCACTTTTGTATGTTCCTTTAAACTTTATATTTCTACATTCCATTGCTACTGTTTTATGCTGCAAACCGGTAATACATATTGCTAGAACCCCTTGATATTCAATGCACTTCCATCACTTTTAAAATACTGCAAACAACCTCACAGTAAGACAACATTCCCAGCCATTGCTGGGTGGAAAATAAGACTCTCAGTGCATTGCAGCTTGAATTGGTCCATGATTCATAAGCTGTAGGCCCTCACAACAACTGAACAGAGGCAGCAATGTAACAAAATTGTATATCGGAATTTTAACTTTATGAGTGCCTGATTTACTTGATTTACGTACAGTAAGTAAAAAATTGAAACAGCCACAGCTGATAGTATTGGTGGGACTGCGCAACTTGACAAAACCGAAATGGTACATGGTGTTATGAAAGCCTTTAGGTCTTTTTTGCATTAAGAAACATTTTGACCTCATTGAAGACTTCTGGTCTTTTAAACAACCGCCACAACCGGCAGTCCCTTGCCACAGCTCTGTCCATGACTTAAACAAAGCCTCTTGCGGTAGATTCTCTCATAGTTCACCTGGTGCTGAAGACAAAGCTGACGAATACACAACCCGTGTCATTGAACCACTAATGAATGCAAACCAAGGAAATACGACTCCCCTCGCAGCTTGATCCCTTCCAGGAGGTGATCTGCAGGCTCTTTATGCAAGCCAAGCCCTGGTGCTACATACAGTACTAATAAGCACAGCAGCACAGTTAGTACTAGGGACTGCAGCTGACAAAGCCTAAAATGGATTCAATACAGAAGAGTCTGTGCTGTTTTCCTGTCAAGCTAATAGAAGCCCATCCGAGATGGGCTCATTTGGAGATCCCTGTAGTGGGCGCCCTGTTGCTCACCTGCCATGTGGGGTCAGCATGCCTGAAATAGCAGAAGTTGTCGGTGATCCACTTGTAGATGCAGGAGAGGGTGATTTTGCTCTTCTTGCTGGCTTGCATGGCCATGCAGATGAGTGTGGCGTAGGAGTAGGGTGGTTTTACGTGGGGGTTGGTCTTGTAGTCGATGTCTTCGGGTGAGTGGCCCTGGGCACCTAAGAGGGCAGACTGGGGGGCCCTGCAGAAGGCAGCGGCAGTAGGCTTGCCAGGGGTGTGGGGCATGCCCATCGAGGCTGGGTCAGCAGCCAGTGGGGAGGCTGGCGCCTCGGTGCCCACCAGGCCCTGGTGCCCATAGAGGTGATGCTGTAGGTGGGCAGAGGAGGAAGAGGCCTGGTTGCTGTTGGCGTTGATGATGGAGAACTCCTGCAGCCACTGCAGGCTGGTCAGGCTGTCATCCAGGTTGACAGTACCGCTGCTACTCGCGTGGCTCTCGTCTGCCCACCCCTCCTCTTCCTCGACGCAGCCCTGCTGCCAGCCCTCAGCCGAGCTCAGGTGCATCATGGCTGCGTCCTCTGCAAGCGCCAGGAGCCGTCTCCAAAGAACGAGAAACCCCAACCAGCACCTGACAACGCAGAAAGGTTTCTTTTCAGCAGCTGAGAACAGCACGCTCACCCAAGGTTTTCCCAAGGTGACAAGCAATTACTGCTCTAGCTCTTGGTTTCCAATGGTTATTGAAGTTTAACATAGTGGAAACTCACATAGAGCGCTGCCATTTTAAAATTGGACACTTTGATTTGTAGCCCACATAGCTGTAACAATCCGGCAAGAACAGAGAAGAGCAGACACTCACACATACGCTTCTGCTTGCTTGCTATTGTGATATGTGCTGGAAGTGATATAAATAAAAAGAGCATGAATGTTTGTACCACAGACTGGACTTCATGTAATAAAATTTCCCTATTACTCTATACGGGAATACGTATTTCAATATTGTATGAATCTGGAGCTGTACAACACCAAAGCTCAGAATCCACAGCATGAAAATGTCTGGAAAACGGAACTGACATATGAACATTTTTTAGCACAAATATTTACCTGTGAAGAATGTAATAATGTAGGGTTTCCTTTTCCTGGTTCTGGTGGTCCAGACACCTGCTGGTTTTTGTTCCAGCCAAGCAGTCTGTTACACAATTGAACCCTTAATTGACTTAATAATAGGATTAGTTTAAACTTTGCCTGTTTTCAGCTCCTTAACGTGTTGGAGGTTGCCTATTAACTATTGCATTCCTGAAGTAATGAAACAAAACGTTTGAGTTCAAGTAAAGCTTGGGCATATTCCAATCAATCAGCTTGTTAGATCAGTCAAGGGATCAATAAGGCATTTAGCCTGGAATTAAAATCCGCTAGTGTGTGATCCACCAGGCCCAGGACTGGGAGCACCTGATCTGAGGTAATAGAAGTATGCAGAGTAACACTCTATTAGACACACTCTATTTATTAGACACATTTGTGCAGTAACTAAAAATACACTAAAAGGTCACATGAAGACGATTAATATTAATTTAAAAATTACTGTCCGGTTGCAGTCAGAGGCACTTTGTTGAAGTAGGCAGCCCCTCTGAAAAACCTCCTAATACTCAAAGTGGCGTTTCATGAATGCAGAACTGCTCTACAATCGCATGCATGATGCGGACTGCTATATATATGCGAGCCCTGCAAGTAGTTAAAGACGAAATCAATTGCTAAGATATAACAGTAATCTTAACAGGAGTCTTTTATAAAACGGCACCTGTCCGCACCGGCTCAGTGAGAACCTGCGGAAAGTCAGAGGGCGATGTTAGGACACAAAGACGGCAGGGGTTAGAGTACACTAAGACGGTCAGGTGAAAAGAAGAATCGAAAACACAAACAGAAGATGTTTTATCCGGTTCGAAGTAGCCGGTTCATCATTGTGACAAGTGAAAGTAGGGAGCCGCGTCTGCGTGCAAATAGAATGTTCTTAAAGACTTTAGGACACTACTTTGGTCTAAGTGAATTTAAGTATTTCAAATTGAAATTTCCACCCACAACATTTCTTATAATAAAAAAAATCATTATTAAAAAATAGATGTTTTTAACTGCAAAAACATTTGTTATATACACATAATTAAAAGAGCTAAAGCTAAATCACAAAACGATAAGGCGCTCTTAGCAGACAATGCTTAATACTAAAGCCCCAAAGAACTTCAAATGTAATTCTTGGAAATCGTTCAAGACAAATATTCACTTGAAATAGTAACAAATACTACGGAAACAGCACACGTTCTGTATTATAGAGTTCTCTTCTATTTTTGATAGCCTCATGCCACGGGAGACCCTGTATTAAATGTTTAATCCACTTGACAACAACAACAACAACAACAACAATAAAATAAAATAATAATAATAATAATAATAATAATAATAATAATAATAATAATAATTTGGCTCACCTTATTGGTACTGCCTAAAGGACAAGACTTGAAAAGCTGTTCGAGAAACTTCCAGAAGAGTGCTGCTCGGCTGATGCTCTCTCCTGTGCTGTGGCCCTGAGCTAAACCCCCGAGCCGCACTGCCCTGGCTGGCCAGTGTGCTGAACCCTGTGGAATTCGGGGCCCCGGAGCGGAGGCGCTTTTCACGTAAGGCTGTGCGGAGCGGCTCTCCGGGAACAGTTTAATACCTGCAGCAGGAGGCTTGTCCCGGCACCATAGAAACGGCGCCCCCCCACACACACCGTAAACAGCTTCCCGTACTTCCATTGGCTTGGTGGTTGCTATGGTGCTTCTTTTTTAATCACTTTCTCACTTAAAGTTTTTAGTCTTTTCAGCCGTTTCTGTCCAAAGGAGGGGGGAAACTTGTTGAACTTTTACTTGTTTTCATGCAAATCAGAGGGATTCAGCCAGGCAGACAGGACAGGGGGGACGTGTAAAAATGGGGAAGGAATCCGCCCGCTGTCTGATGCGTGTTTTTGCGTCCGCTGTTAAACCTTCACCGTTCCAGACATTTAAAACCGCCTGGCGTTTCATTAAAATTACCTCGCTTGCTGCTTTTATGGAGTGATTCAACGTGGCAAAACGATTTCCGGACAGGAGTCAATATTGTTACAATGGATCCAGACACACTGACATTAAACGATTTTACGAGGAGATAATCACACCTACAACTCACCTACAGTGAAGCTGTGGACATTCTTTGTCGTTTTGTACATACTAATATGTATTACCAATAAGCCCAATGTTTGAAGGTTTTAATCTCCAAGGATAAAATATAACAAATATAACCACTCTGACAAATACGACCAACTCGATCTAAAACCTGTAACTCAACGTTTATACGCAAAATTGTGCTGTGATGAAGATACACTGGATACATAAGATGTCCCTCAGTAGAAATACAAAAAATGTTTTCTTAAAACTTAAGTTAATTATGGAAAGCAACCCACCTGTTGAAAAGGCAGGGCCAAATAAACCATTTTTGTGAAACTGAAGGAAACTGTACCAGTATTGTTTAGACACCTCCAAGACACCTGGAGCACCAGCTCTGCTCTGTTGCAATACATTGGAAGTAATAAACTCTGCGCTTTTCAATGCATTTACTTACAATAACTATTTTCTACCCCAAAGAATTCCAGTACACTGTCAAGCAATTTTGTGAAATCATACAGTTATAGAAGATGTAGAAATAATACAATTAAAAGTTTATTAAGCTGTTGAAGTAAAACAGTTTTTAAAATCTCATCTATCTACTTTCTATCCTTTGTGTTTTTTCAGGTCATGACAGTCACTGTTTCTCTTCACAGGCTGCAATTACTATATGCAGCCCTCACCTCAGCAAACCTGTCTCAGAACCAGTGTGTCTCAGCATTACACCTGTGTAATGCAAGTCACAGGCTGGGAAAAATGACACCTACCTCTCTGGGCTACAGAATGAAGACAGGAATTAGCTCAGGAGATCTATGGCTGGTCTTATTTCACATTTGCTCAGTATATGACTAACATTGAAAGTTATTGAAATATTTGTGCCCATAATTTTTTAAAACAAGCATGTGCTGACCAGTGGGAAGTACTTCCCTTGCTGTATTATTTTGAAGAACTAGGCCAGTTCAGACCTATACAGCAAGAAGCATAGTAGTGTATAATTACTACAAAGTATGTGACTTCATGTGGCTGTGAGATATTTCAAGAAGGGTTTAAGACAAGACAATACTATTAGCAATTCATAAGCATCTACTGTATATGAAACAGTTTGTGCAATTATCGCTTATATCAGTGATAACACCTCCGTTTTACAGAATAGAAGGTTCTATTGTTCAGAATAATTCATCCTGTGTCAACGGAAGAGCCAGGTTTTGAACTAGGATCCCTGTGATAAATCTGGCAAATCTGCATTGTACTTCTTTTGAAAGGGTCATAAACATATACTCCACCTTAAGGACTGTCAAAAGATCACAGATGTGAATGTGTGTGTGCTCTGCTCTGATCTAGTCCTATCCAAGGTGTATCTTGCCCCGTCTTGCCCATGGTAACCCATTGTAATCTGCTGGATTAGGCTTCATTTCTCAGTATACTGTATTGGATTAATTGAAAATGGATGGATAGATGGATTTTTCCTACTTGTATGCATTGATTTTGCATTTGTGTTCCTTAAAATTCATTTTCTACTGATCTGCCCAGTACGGAACAGTGTCTACCTCTCTAAGCATTTCATTAGCTTCTTGTACAGTTTTTGCTACCTGTCCTATACTGTATGTGTGTAAGTTGCTAACTCCATGAGTTTACTAATTACGCCAGTTGGGCTTAACATATCTCTTTGGCACTCCAGTAATTACCTTAATTTGAAGTTTCATCCCTTCTCGGTATTTTCTATGCATTAACCAAATTAAGCACATTACTGCCAATTCCTGTATTTTTCAGTTTCAGACATAATGTTTCACAAGAAATTTTAACAAACACCTTCAGGAAAACTAAACACATTATAAACCCCCTTTTACCCCTCACAGTTCTTCGTGGTTCAATGCAGATTGACAAGAGGATCTGTCTTTAACAAACCGACATTGACCATTAATTAAAAGATTATTAAAATTTAAATAATATATAGCTGTACATATAACAGAGGCAAGATATTGTGCTCTTGAGTTTGTTCTCTTTTTGTAGATGGATTCATTTGCAATTCTCCAGCTTACCTCACTTCTCAGAATTATTTCCAAATTATTTAATGATTTGCGGCTCTTGTAACAGACCTTGAATCAGCATTTTTACTGAAAGGTTCTAGGTGCTGCTTTTTCCAGAGTGCTTAAGGACAGTCAGTCCAAGCAATGCAGGTCCAACTCAGTCTCAGAGTGTGAAGTTTAAGATCGTTCTTTAACAAACACCTTGACAGGGAAAGAAAACTCAAAAATTATTTTCACATATTGCTTTGTGAAACATTGGAATTTTCCAACTAGGAAAACTCTTTCCTAGTTTTCTATTATTTCTTTTGGAGACAACAGTGCTAACTTGAAACAAGTACAAACTAATGAACATTATGGGCTCAACACAACGTGTTTCTTGCGGGCAGCCAAAGCACTTATATTAAAAAAACATAAATGCTCAGCAGACCTTAAATATGAAAATCTTTGTTTTCTTTAGTTTGGGTAAAAACACGGCTTCACATGGGCCACTTTCTGGGATTTCCGAGATTCTTCGCTCTTCAGTGACTGCTGGATTGCTTATTAACCTGATTCATGTATTCCTGAAATAATATCTAAACCCCAGCTGAGGCTCCATAATTACCGTTAATTGGAAGATCCCACTTAAAAAAACATTCAGTGACTTCAAAGTAGCTTAATAAAGAGGGGTGTTGGTTTGGAGCACAGACTGAGTTTTACAGTCCAAACATCACAGCTTTATGCAAGCGTTCTGACTTTGCTGTTTTAGGGACTCGAGCAGTAGCTAACTGGCCAAGGATATCCAGGGTTTAGCTGGCTTTGTCTGTAAAAGATAACTCTGGCCTGTCACAGAACATCCACTCCTGGGACATGCAATGCACCAGTGAGCATGCAGTACTGTCAGTGAGAGATGCATCCATCCTCTAATCAATATTGATTCTCCCTGGGGGGCCTATGTATCCCCCAGCATGTCAAATGGCCCGACAGCGGGCATGTTGAAGGACAGCAGGAAAATATTTGTTGTCACTGCACAATACTGTCATGATGTGAGCTACAAGGAAAGTACACTTGATTGGAAATTAAAAAAAATAAAACAAGGACATCTCCATTTTAAGGGGCTGTTAATACAAAAGGATTTTAAATGTCCATGATGATTAGCAGTATACAGTCAACCCTTGATTTACAAACTTAAATTGTATACTGAAAATTGTTTGTAAGGTGAAAATGTCTAAATAAAAAATACAGTTCCCATAGGATCCCATGTTAAATTGTCTTACTCATATATGAGATCCCCAGAGAACCCCACAACATTGTACATTAAAATATAACGTGGGGAAAATAGCAAGAAATCATCAAACAATATCAATATTGCAATAGCCTTAAAAATAACGAATTACCATACTAACACAACTAAACAACATATGCAAAGCAGTAAACCAGCAGTGAATTCATATTAATCAATTATTCGAGAACCAGTAAACAACCAACCTGCCAATCACTTTATTTATGATCTTATAAAACAGAACAGTTATCTCAAGCTTTCAAGCTTCTATTTAATCAAATATTTAATTAAAATGTGGAAATTAAGAAAAAGATATAAGAACTAATAACACTCACAGACTGCTTTTTCCATGTTTTGGAGCCATGTTGGATATTGATTGTGTAGAAAATGCACAATAAAATACACTTTGAGAGAGCCTGCGCAAAGCACAACACACCAAGCACAACCCAAACAGGTCTAAACAGTAGGGCAAAGTTCTACAAGGATGGGCACTGAAGTCACAACCTCAGCTCATACTCCTCCACAAACCTAAGTTTTCTGCCTATGAAGAGGATTCTTTTGTTGTAGAGAAAAATATTGTTCATTGGGTGAGAAATATACTATATGATGCAATAACTATAATAGACACTTACTGGCTTTGCTGTAACATAAATTTGTAAATTGGGGGTTTGTTGTAACAAAATTAGGGGATGACTGTATACAGTGAAAATTCACATTTCAAAAGGAAATGACCAAAAGCTACACTGGAGTGGTTTAACAAGAAGAAAGCAAATGCCTTTGACTTGAATCTCATAGAAAATCTGCAGCAAGACTTGAAAAAAGCTGACAATCAATCTCACATGATCTCCAACCAACTTGAGTGTGCATAAGCAAGTTACATATAAGAATGGGATTGTACCATCTCTGTGTGCAAAGCTAGTTAAGTCTTATGCAAAAAGAATAATTTTGCAAGGTTCTGTACGTTAGCATCACGGTACATAAGCAGGATCTAAACAGATTCTGATACAGGACACTGGTTGAAATATGTTCAGCTGTTGTTTGTGAAAGTGGTGCAGTTAGGTTACAAACTAAAGGGTTTAACCATCTAGGCTGTCTGAGGGTTAAAACAAATCAAAAGATATACACAGATGCAGAAATAAAACATAGCCAGTGAGGCGTTTTTAAAAAGTTTATTGAACCGGAACTCCATAAAAGTCATTCTTAAAGAGATTTAACCCTTTCATTATCTTCACACTTATCTGTTTTTGTGAAAAGCAATTATTAATTTGCCCATTTTAACATGCAGCTATAGGCTCAGAATAGGCCCAGAGGTATTGGTCAACACTGCAGATAAGGAAAGGGTTAAAAGTGTAGTGCAAATGTACACAAGAACTAAGTGGAGGTATCGACAGGTCTGGACATAGCTACACTAAGGTGCTTTTCTACATGAGCTTCAAGCACATGCACCCTTTCATCTGTGGTCCAGTGAGACTAGTAGTGCATTCACTCTCTCTTTTTTCACAACTGTTTTAACAGATAGCACAGACACATAACACCAATACCCACTGAGTGGTTGCAAATTGTTCATTTTTCATACAAAGTCCTTATGTTTTCAACAGGTGATTAGATTACCAAAGGAGAGACGCATTGAGCCATTTCGTCTTGGACAGAGGCAGCTGGTAAGTGCACCATTGTGGTTTTTATGGACAGCGCCAGTAGCACAGCTGGAGTAGAGCAGAGTTGAACAAACCTGCTGTGCACAAACGAGGCAGACTGAGAATGAAGTGCACATGTGGACCAGAACTGTTTAGTGCTTTCAAATGGACAGGGAGCTAGGGAGCATGAATATTATATTACTATAGAGAACAATATAATAGGGAATATACTGCTCTTCACTGTTGCAATGATCTTCAGACTAAATCATTTGTGCTCATATCCCTGATTGATTTAAATTGCAGTTGCACTGCTAGAGCCAGAAAGTGGATGTTGGTCAAGCCAGCTGAACAGCAACAAAAATACTTTGAAAAAGGTTTTACTGAAACCAGTTAAATGAAAACAGAAAAAACTTAAAATTGCAATTTGTACCTCATTTTGCTTGTCCCACAAACAGAAGTGCGAGTAAGGATACTGTCCAGGCACCTGCATGGAAGAATTCCTAGAGCTGAGCTTTTCATGTGTCAGTGTCACTTGTTAATCACCTGGGTTCAATTCCTGAGGTGTTATCTGAGTTTGTATGCCTTTGCATTGTTTATATGGGTTTGCTCCCATAGTCCAAAGACTATACTGGTGGTTAAACCGGCTTCTGGGAAATCTGACCCTGGTGTAATTGGGTGCATGTCTGCGTTTGTATCTCTGTGTGCCTTTCGATAGACTGGTATCCCATCCAGAGTGCAACCTGCCCCGCCCCCTTTGCTTCCTGGCATAGGCTCTGGGCTACCGTGGACTTGAAAAGGATAAGTGCTTAGAGAAAGTGAGGTGATGATGCTGTGAATACATTTTTTTGCTTCAACATTTTCCCCACTAGCGTAAACTCCAAATGTTGCGAGTTATATTATATGCTGTCCTTCATAAGAACAAATCAGAACCATATAACCACATCCAAGACCAAGTTTCCACATAAATGTTCAGTTTGAGCTGATTTGAAGCTTGCATTTTGTTATTCATGGGCTCGGTGTAAACCAAATCCTCAACATACAAACTCACACTATGGGCTTCTGCAAAACATGAGGAGTAAAACCAGTTAAACATCCTTACACAGAGAAGCAACAACTTCTACATAAAATTATAGGTTCTGGCTTTACAGTCACAACTGTTAATGAATAAACAATCTCAAAACAGGCATTTGTTTTAAAATCAAAACCATTTGAAGGAGAGGACTAGTGCATTTAACATCTATAAAACCACACCACAGTACTGCTTCAGAATACCATGGTACTGTAGGACAGAGTGAGCTAGTTGAAATACATGCAAACACCACAGGTCTCTGAAACAGCACTGTGATGCCTTTACACACAGAGGTGAGGATTCTGAAAAGAGCAGCATCCGCGTCACTTGTTCCGTTTTCAAAAGTTGCCTTTCTGCAGTTCTTGAAACTGCAGTTTGTGCAGCATATTCTCAAGTTAACTTTTATTCCTTTTGTGAATGTAAATTTGTTAATGTTAAAGACTTCTTTCAATAACATGCAAGTCTGGATAAGCTACTGGAATGTGAAGATGGTTTCAGCTGTGTAAGAGAACACAGTGTACAGATTTCCTCTTCCGGAGTTCCACTATCACTCTATACCACATGCATATTATTGTGACTGGCAGGAGGAAGAGCAGCATGGTAATTATTACATTTTTAAATGGCATGCAGGGGTATTTAAATCCAGCAGTGTAGTGGGGGGTACTTGTGGCTTTGTGATGGGCAGAAACGACCCTGAAGACAGGTCAGCACAGACAGGGTTGAACAGCCAAGCGGCAGACATTTTATTGCTTTACTGTTTCCTTTGTGGAAGGTTTCTGGAATCTCACCAGCAGCAGCAAAAAAAAAAAAAAACAACGACACAAAGAAAAAAAAAACAACGAAACTACACGGACATCCAATCCCCCCAGTCTCCCGGACAGAGTGCTAAAGTGCAAGTGTGTGTGTGTGTGTGCTTGCGCCTGTGAAAGAGATTCATTCACGGCCAAGCAAAGGTGTCCAGGAAAGCCCCTTTTCTTTTTCCCCCCCAAAGGGTCCCCGTTGGCTTTTTTTCATTAACATGCTTCACCTCTGGGGCAGCTTACGCTGCTGGCTTTCCCTTTGAAAGTCTCGGGCCCTGGATTAAACCCACCCGCCAACCGCAGAATTCCAGATCCAGTGCTCGACGGCGGCTTTAGGCCGGGTAGACACAGGAAGCCTCCTCTGAAACAGAAGGCCGGCCTCAACGGACATGTTTGGAATCTGCGATGGGCAGACGATTCGAAGTCCCTGATTTAACCCTTTTCTTACATGACACTCCGAGACTTTAGAATATTTGAGCTCTCATTTGTCACAGTAAGGGTTCAAAGTGTGTGCTTTAAAAGCCTCTGAAAATGAAGTAGCCCCAATATTCCTCTCTAACCTCGGTGGGACTCAGGAACTCCCAGACGTTCCGCTCAAATAAAGTTTCCAATGTTTATTTAGTGAATTCCCAGTATTTTCAATATTTTTAAGTCTTTATCCTATCGGCAGCATTACAGACCTTTAGGTAAAGCCCGGTCTGTAAAGGCTGATTTCTAAAGTTTTGTATTAATAAAGTGTCACTATAGTATGGGATAAAGCCAAATCCTCTGTCTAATTTCAGTTTAAAGAATTTCAGCACAGAACAGAAAACCCTTTAAAGTGGCACTTTTCATGAAGCTTACTAACCTTGCTCATCTTATTTTTTCGGCTAACAAAATGTGAAAATCGGCAAACTACTTCAGGGTGGAAAATGCTAACCCACACATAAAAATCTCTTAATATCTAGTTTATGTTCTCTAAAATGACTCTATGACCACTGTGAAATCACAATACAGAACTCTAGAATGTACGCTGGTGATTGATGGAGCATGGCGATATTCCACAATAATACACCAGGAGTGGGAAATTACTTGTACATCTATTCCAATTTATAAACAAATCCAGTGATGAGATGCTTTTACACGAGCAGGTCCCAGGGATGTAACACAATGTGCAAGAAATATGTTCAGTGGGATTCAGGACCACAGGCTCATTACTCTCCAACTTGTTCCCTACTCACAGCTTTGAGAACGCCACTTCCTGTCACACCTTTCCTCTTTGACATGGACTGACCTCTTCTGCCAATGCACTTAATGCCAGAGATGCTAACTTCACTTTTAAAAATGAGACCTTGTCAGTTTAGTGAAGCCCACCTTCATCATCTGCCCCACAATGTGATATAAACAACAACTGACTACACTAAAATGAAGTTCAATTCAATTTCGTTCCTTCAATTTTTGTGCTGGCAGACACCAAAACTATCCTATCCCACACTTACTTTCTCCATGGAGTCCAAACAGATTTCCTGCTCCTGCATTTTCATTTTTATCTTTGCTCCCTGGTAGCTGCAGCTTAACATTTCTCTCTGCAGGTCTGGAATGAGTTTTAAAACACTCGGCTTTTCAAGACTATACAAGCTGGCTGTCCCCAGAAGTCCTCACTGGCACATCTCAGAATGTCCACTATTTCTGCACCCTTGCAATAAACCCCATTACTGTGTTGTATAGCATGCACAAAGAGCATTATTCCCCATTTCACTTTGTGCATCAGCCGCCAACAGACCTTTGAAGACTTTGATAATTAAATAGGTCAACATGGCCAGTCTGAGCTTAAGAAGGAAGGGAAGGGCTATCACAGGCCCCACATATTCCCACTAAAAACGTCTCTTGAGAAAGGTTACAAGCTGGAGTTGAAGAAATCAAACCTGCAACAGTACAGTATTCATTCTCCTACAGCATGGCTTGATGGCAAGTCTTAAATGGCCTCGTGCAGCACACGTCCTTCACAGTGCGGTTTCTGGCAGTTTTGCACACAGGGGTCACAGAATTTTAAAAGTTTTGGCTGCCGATGCGGAGGAGTTGCCAGAAGCAAAAAAAAAAAAGACGATGCCAAGAAAACAAAGTCAAACCCCCAATATTTAAGTGCTCAAAGTATGGACAGATCCAGCCACACAGGGCTCATGTTTCCTGCCATGACCTGGCAATTCACCTCTTTTAGCTATCGTTCCTAGAGGAAGGCCAGAGCTGAGTATGGGAGCGATGGACGGAAAGGAGAGCTGTTTTGTCCCCCGACACTTGTAAGATAAGGTGTTGGGGTGCTTCGTGATGGGGTCAAGGGAGTGGTCCTGGCGAAATTATGGAGCGCAGGGGCTGGGGCATGGTCACACGGCAAGGGGTCCACGTTTTGACGTCTGAGGGGGAATGCTGCACTCTTCCTCACCCTCCTCTTCCTCCAGGTTGATGTTGCTCGTGGAGGCGTGCTGCTGCAGGAGCCCCCTTCCCAGTCTGTAATCCCCTCGGAACACCAGCCCTGCGGGGGCAGAGACAAAACCGTCAGGATGGCTCCAGGAGACAGCTGCAGAAACTTCATCCCCACAATCTTTCATGACAAAAAAACATGGATACATATCTTTAGTCATTCTGCTTTCTAAATAATTAATTTCAGAGTCCCAGCCCTGACACACATTTGCCAACAGTGCCCTGTAACTAAAACTGTTCTTATACAAGTTATTTCAATATAATTAACAGGTTATTCAAAAATGTAGTAAGTCTTTAGATTTGCAGGTATCATATCAATCAAGTGAGGTGGTAGGATTCTTGACACAATAAAATTAGCAGAGTTAGTAAATTAACAAGTAACATTAAATTAACAACTAGTTTTACTGTATCTGAAACAAGCAAACACGCAAATAACCTACAGATCTTGGGCATCCATATTTATATCTGCAATGGTCTTAAAAAGAGAAAATGAAACAGTTCGAAGTGTACATCTTGCCTTCATGAAACATGCTTTGAGATTTTGACAGTCTGCATTCTGAAGTCAAACTTAACAACCTTTTTGTAAAGAAAAGTTTCAATGGCTCAATTTGACAGCCACAAACACATCTGATTCATAATTCATAAAAGTACCACTCACTCAGCTCCAAGTGACTAATATTGTAGTTTGCATTCGCTTTCAAGTCAGGTGCTAGAATATAAGAAAGACTGAAAGCTGCTTCTCCAGAAGACGTCACAGGTTTCCTTTCTTTGACCTATTTTATATGTTTTAGACATATGCTAGTTTCATCTGTAGTCAATTTTAAAGACCCATTTGGTCTAATTACACATTCCTCATTATATGTGTTTTAACAGCTATGGTACCATACCTATTCTTCAATGTTTACTGGGCATGAATCCAAAGCTGTCCATACCATTGAGAGCAGGAGGAAAAGACAGAAGAAGAGAAAGGGGGAACAATGGGGAAAGAGAAATGGAGAGAAAGAACAAAACACATTTACAGCACACACACACATTGTTGGACCAGAACAACCAGGAGGAATTGTGAATGAAAACAGAAGTCATTAGAATGAATGCAGAGCCTGCTCACAAGCATGGTTCAGATAACAGAGGTGTTAGAAAGAAAGCCTTCCTCCTATGAGCATGGCCATTCAAGCAAACTCACACATTCCATAGGCTTGGCAGAGGCCTGAATTGGAATACATTGAAGGTATTTCCTGGCCATTGTTCACAAAGTCTTGAAATGATATGATATACACAACATAAGCCACACAAGAAGAGACTTGCATCATACAAAAGGAAGTATCCAGGCAGTGTATGTTGTACACTGTTTAGCAGGTTAGCTATCACCAGTGCATGACACACATAGGTGTAACGTCCATTTCAATCACTTGAGCGCACTGGTTTAGTGTACATTTATACACACTGAGAAAATAAATTCTGGATACTTTCCATTTGCCCATTCTGTATTTCTAATCTTTGTGTCCAAACAGAAGTCTTATCTAATACATTTAGATAACTCTATATACCCGAGCAGGAACTGCATTCATTGGGACCGAGACTGACTTCCTCAAAACCTACATTTGTATCGAAGAAGAAAAAAACTGACTCTCTGCAGGGGTTGCCAAACAAAATACAAAATCAAACTGTCTGATCTGAAATTGAGATTAAGGCAGTATCTCCCATTCATACAGGAGATCACACAGCAGATGCTTTTCTTGGAAAACAAATACAAGACAGGTTAATAAGTCAAATATTTGTGATGATTTTCACAAGTGCATTAAACACTGCAGGATTAAAGTGTCAGAAATGTACATGAACACGTGATTTTCCCCAAGTAAAAACTTTAGTCCAGTATCTACAATGAAACGCATCAAACATAAGAGCATTTCTAAAGACGGGGAGATTAATTGTTTTGGCAGCCGCATGCAAAAAGAAATTGAAAATGATGGAAATTCTGCTCGTGAGGAATCACAAACACTACTTATCAGGACTGAATAGCCCTGAGAAAAGCTGAAGACAAGACCTTCCCAGTAAATGTCAGGGGGGAAACAGTAGCCTTTGTTCCTTACAACCAACTAAGTTAATATTACCTCTGCTCTAGACAAACAGGCTCTTCAAGGCTAATTCTCAATATATTGTAAATTAGTGTTAACAACCTGATTAAAAAGGCAAACATAGGTTTTTAAAAAAGCCCCAATAAAACTTTTTTTAAAAACCAACTACTTTTCCAGGTATGATTAACCACAATATCAATATGTTAGGACCAACAGTTCTATGGCTTGAGAATAACCTCCAGCCACCTGAGAAACTGGCAGAAACGGCCTGGCCTTCGGAGAGCTCAGGTGCAAGCAGAAAGAAAACCACTTTTTTTTCGGGGTTTCCCATTCCAGGAATGGCCTCAAGGTTTCATGGGACAAAACTGGAATGGCAGGGAAGGAAACGCAACACAAACAAGTCCAAACTAAGGCTCAGCAAAGCAAACAGGAGCTGGCAGACACTGAACATGAACTTCACACTTGGATGGACTGGACACAGACGCTTCCAACTTAAAAGGCTTTTGTCAGGGAGAGGGAAGACAGTGGAGAAAGAGACTGGGATGAGAAGTACAGTATGAACCAGAAACGCTGTTTTTGTTTAAATGAGCTATGTATTGTACTTCTTAGGTGTGATTTTTGTTAAAACTTCACAGAGTCAGCACTGTGTATTTCTTAAATATCTCACAAATAATCTAGTGTGGTTATTTCAGAAAACATGGAGACAAAGGCTTAGTCTTTCTGCTTTTGACATTATATCCAGGATTTCCGAAAAGGGATTTTTAGAAAAGCAGCTAGAAGCAAACACAGAAACTACAGAATCCTGAGTCAAATGTGGGGAAGAATAAAGTCTACAGAAATATAGCTCTTCTTGGACTTCAATAGAAACAGCTGGACTAATCCTGCTATGGCTTGGATATATGAGATACTGTATATACTTAAACCTTCCACGCTCACCTGCTGAGGCTCTATTCAGGCTCTGGGCACAATTGCAGTGAAACAAACAGAAGAGAAATACAAAGAAACATTCTGGAAGAATAAATGGACATTTTTAAATGTTCAGGTGGGTAAACCTATTACTTGTTCCTTTGCATTTTTAAATGCTTTTGCACAAAATACATCACACACACACTATAAGTGCCAATGAACGTGGTTCAATATCATTTTATCATTGTATTTTGAAGTATAGTTCTTTGCATTTTCAATTTCATTAAATAACAGAATTTAACAGTACAACAAAACACTATTTTAATAGTGCCTTACATATAAAATGTACTTGTTTCATTTGAAAATGTCATCCTTCATTTTTCCCTTCTGTGTATTTTAGAGCAGTGCCACTGAAATGGCATCAGTTCACCGTTGCAGCTAAATCCCTGTTGCCCTGAGTCTGCAAGGATGAGTAGTCTGGTGCCCAGATGTGCCAGGTAAGCATCTTGCTGAAGTGGCACCGCTGTTGCCACATATGAGAGAGTGGTGTGCTGATACTTAAAATAATAGGCCAGGGGCTAAAGAGAGCATTTTCTGTGGCATGGTTTGACCATTCACCCCACCTCTTTTCCATCCAAAGATGTGGAGACTTGAAGAAAGTCCATGTTCAACGGATTGCCACTCACCAGCGATGCAGGCGTCAGGGACCAGCTCATTGTCGAGCCCTGTCAAGCAGGGGGTCACGCCCTGATTGTTATTGTCAAACTCAGGACAAGGCACCTCACTCGTCCTCCTCCCACCTGCAAGCGAGGTCAGAGGTCAGACAAGAGCGGCAGGGGGCAGCAGTGTGGACAAGGGGACAGGCAGAGCGAGGCACAGGCCCACGGGACGAAACCTGCGGCCAGCCTGCAGGGGGAGCTCTTCTTGTCAGGAGCCAGCTGGGCTTGGTTACATGTGGTCTGTTAGCGACTGCAACAGATGATTACATTAATCCAGTGCTTCTCAAACCACTCCTGGAACCCAGGACATGGCAGATCTGTCTGGGATATCGATTCCTGGTCATACAGCACCTGAAATCATGTACATTTTAAGTCCTTCCCATTGTAAATAAAGCACGCACGTGGCCTATATTTAAATACAGTGAGGGGTTTTATTTATATTCCTATGAATTATTAATTTTTGATTGGTAGCTTTATAAAGAAAGTTGATCTAATGGGGCAAATACATTTCTACTTTGTATTTTGTAAACTGATGCAAATAAAAATTACAAATTTACACAGCTGCATTACAATACAGTATGCATGAACAGCGAGCAAGCAGCAGGACAGAGCTTAATGCACTGTGTACATTGTAAAGTAGACAATCAAATGCTGTCTGGATTGCACAACAGGAGGACCTCCAAGACACATCTGAGAAACAATGCACTAATGTCTATTGTAAAATATGGTGAATGAGATTTTATTACTATATTCCTCTTTCTTTCTTCATTGCAATCATTATCTTTTTACTATCCTTCAATGAAATTTAGCTGCAAGAAACAGTCAGTTTTTGTTTTCTTTCTTCCTGATAATTACTTACAGTATAAATATTAGCATTCTGTATCACCTTCTGCATCAGGCCAGGCATGGTGGGTGTGTTTGTGCCTGCTCCTTTTGTGCTTGGTGTTGTGTCCCATCTCAAAGTCAAAACAGTCCATTTTAATATGGGCCCTGTATATTTATGCTCACTATCTCACCCCCCTCAGAACAAAATGTCTTAAGCTCACTTATGGGCACCTTCAACAAAGGCATTAGCCATTGGTTTTCTTATTTTTTACAAAGATTTGGAATGTGCAAAATCTGGATTCAAAAGAAACACCCTTTACTGGCATAGAGCAAACATCCTGTTTTTAAGCCTATTTATATTTGGAGAGTACACTCCTGGCAAGAGAGCTTCTCCTAGTGGCCGCTGTATTTCAAAAGCCATTACACATTATTTCTGACCAAAGACAGTGGCTTCTATTGAGGGTTAGGGTGATGATTAAAAAAAGAACATCAGTCATTCAGGGTGTCAACCAATCATATCTGCTGGGATCAGGAGGAGACATTTTGCAACATCATTCACAAATATTCCGTGGGTAACAGGCATTTCTAATACATCCAAGAACATCTCATTTGTTATTATTGTCAGAAAGCCTGACAAACTCCAGAGGTGGGGAGCTAAGACCAATCCCGTTTCCTTTATAATTTAGTCGTCTGTCTGAATTCCCAATCGGCCGAAAAGTGCTGTATCTTCCACATCTATGGAAGCAGGAAGGGTGAAACTTGCTGCCTCTGATAAGCTCTGGTTAAAAAAAGGGATCTGGGAGGTTGCTGTGTTGCACTGAGTTAGTACTGTGTATGCATTCCTCTCAAGGAGTCTAAACAAAAGATCATCCCAAATGCTGTGTGTTAGTTTCTCGACAGGGGAAGAAAGCCCACTGCAGCACAAAGAGACACTGAAACAACTGACATTCATGCACAAGCTGAGCAGAAACGCACAGAGAGAAACCGACTACCATGCAACTCTAGCAGGGACCAAATTCAATTGTATTATCTTGAAATGTACTTCTGTGTATAATAATGCAATAAAAAGACACCAATATTATCATCACAGATAGTGAAGTTTTACTGAGTATATACTGAAGGTTCAGGAGCAACTGAGTTCTCCTTCACTTTTGCTGCTCTAACATGGAGTCATCTATGATATTACTTCCCGAAAACCTAGAACTATAATGGCAAGCCACTCTCTTCCTTGCACTCATCCTTCTGCATCTCTCTGTCACCCCCTCTCAAGATGTGTGGCTGCCAGTAAACCCTGGGTTTACTTCTTATTCTTCACTGGGGGTCCTAAATTCCTCATCTCCCAGCCAGTTGATTCACCCTCTGCCAAGCAGGTTAACATTCAATTGATATTCCAAAGTGCCTATTTTTAAATGGATGTCCTAATTCCTCATGAACATGAAAAATGAAACAAAAAAAAATAAAATAACTTTTGTAGAATATCCAGAAGTAGAGGACTAGTAGCTTAATACAAACTGCATACAGTCATTGTAAGCAGCTCACACTGTAGACAGAACTGATTTATCAATGTCTAAGATCAGCGAAGGAGCAGACTTGATAAAGCGGTACTGCTGAACAATAACTCTGTCCAAGACAAAAAAACAGCAGTTTAAGCAACTATAAAGACACTGAAGTCTTTTAAGACTTCCAAAACAATCCTGAGACAATTTTCCATAAACAATAATGAATACCAAGGCTATAAACAAAACACTGACACTGGCATCTGGTTTCTATTAAATAAACTCAAGATAACTTCAGAAATCTTATTTGGCCATTACACCAGCATATCAGACGTACTTGTGTCCAAGGCTTTATTCACACAGAAAGTGTAAAGTAACAGTTCAGACATTAAGTGCTGAGTAAGTGGAGCCTTTCATACATTTTCTGCAAAGCAGAAGGTGACAAAATGACTTATTTAGAGCATGGTCTGCCATAAACTTTCAAGAGAGGCTACGCCATCTACTGCCGAATGTGTGATATGACAACTGCCAAGAAAAACTAAATATCCTCAAGTCCAAGTACGCATGAAACCACAGAGATGCTTTTTTGTCATACCTGGTGGTTACTGCAAAACATCTAAAAACAGAAAAGGGTACTAGTCCACAAACTCCATACTCCATACATAAGTTTTTTGGAATTCATCTCTCAGCCTATACATGGATACTTGGTTCCCTTGCAGTGAAAACAGTTAGTCTTAAGCTCCAGTTTGAGAGGCATACGTCTGAAACTACTTCTTTCACATCTGAAATATTCCAAAATACTGTTTCCATGAAACACTGAGAGAAAACTACAACTCAAATGGCTTCTAGCACGTTCTCACACTGAGGTACACTGCGCGGCTGCATCATGGTGAACAGCCTACTGGCACTACCGAAGAGCAGGCAGCCTTTGGTGAACAGTTCCAATGTTTCCCTGCAGGCCCACGGTTTCATAGTTACCCGGGTCCTGTGTGGGCGAGGGGCACTCTTCCTCTGTTACATCATTTCCCTGCAGGGAGAGGAGAAAACAGCTTAGACATGCTGAGCAATTTCAATGTGCAATCTGTGATTAGTCACCTCCAAGTAATTGCATTTACTTCATTGTTCACCGTTTCCCTCCAGCCAAACATCTCTGGTTTCGGGACAATGGGTGCTCTACAAACTCTAAAAACAGCACTACCCTTCATTTTGTGAATCAGGCTCTGCTGCTATATTTAAGTTGGCACTAACAAGCTGCAGTAGTCTGCCTCCGACAAACAAATCACGCATGCATGTTAATATTTAACACAACCAAAGTGCTCTTAACTAAGGCTGGCACAGTTGGCCGTCCGCTGCTTTTGAATTTCACATTTCACGACCAGCTAAAAGAAATGGAGCTTGTGCCCCATAATAATAAATCATAACAGCTTTAAGATGGAGGTCTGCCAACCTTCACATCTTTTAGGACTTTTTGTCAACATGTGAAAGTAGACAAATTCAGGATAAGAACAAATGAGCCAGAACTGTTCATCTAGAGAATCACTGTTGATAATGGGTATGGAGCAGCTATAACTGAAACTATAAAAAATAGTATGCCTTTGAGTTTCAAATCGATTTTGCTAAAATAGTTAAATCGATAATTGCTTTTGGGACTAATGATCGTCTGTTAAATGGTTGTATGTTAACTTCTATACGCATGGATTGCTGAATGCAGGTAAATAATTGAATCCAATGGTCTAGATTATGTAGGCTATTGATTGCTGGAGGCTTAAAATAATGAGGAATTATTGGATCTACGAACAGGGAAAATCTTATTTTGCTAAATCGCTTAATTGGCTTGCTGATAAAATTACTGTTGATCGGTTTTATATTGTCTCTATGCTATGACAAACTTTTAAAAAATAAGAACTATTCAGGAGAACAGTATATATTCAGTGTATAATCAGCATTGTAGGCCTAAACTTTGGAATAGTGGGTCTCACATTGACTTTATTTAGCACCCCCAAGATCAAACATAAGACACAGAGAGAACATAGGACAGTTTCACTGGGCTGACATCTTGCACTATAGTTCTAGGCCTTTGTGGTTACCTCAGAGTCCTGCTCCTCTGCTACAATGGCAAGAAAATTGTTCTCCTTCATCTCCACGGGCGTTTCCTACAACACAAACATGTTTGTTCCATATAATGTCTTCCATACTCAAGAGGACATATCCCTGAGTACTTCATCTGCAATACTTCCCTAAATAACACATGCAGGAGCACATTAAGTCTCATCAAGCTGTAATTGAGCATAATTTCCCAAACAGAGCTGTAATACAGTGAATGTGCTATTGTAGATACAAACTTTCCCAAGGGCTCAGAGAAGAGCTATAGCCTTAGAAGAAAAAGACAGACATGTGGGTGATAATATCATCAGTGTTAGTATGACGGGCTTTAATGAAACAGCCCAGGTCACACTATTATGATTTTATTTGACTGAGACTTTGATACAGATTTCTACCCACTTACACACCTAGTATATTAGTAATATAGTGAAGGGATCTCAGTGGAACAACTGCTACAACAGCAGTGCCCGACCTAGGATTAGATCACACAACCTTCCAGGTGTGACTCCAGAGCCCTAACCACTCTTCCACCTTCAAATGTGATCTGATGAGGTCAAGTCGAAACTTCAAAGAAATTCACACTAGCAAATGGCAATAGATAAATATTGCGCCTAAAAGATGCATATTCATCATTAAATGTAGCATTTGTCACAGATTACAGCATGTTCCAGGGTTCTTAAGTTCACATGCTGTTTTCCCAGTTGCCCTTTCATCAGTATATTGGGAAGGCTAACTGGTGTCTTTAAACTGCCCCCTTGTGTGAGCCCTGCATTGGACGGGTGTCCACTTCACTTGTGCCCTGTTCTTTTGGAAAGACTCTGGGTTGCTGGAGAAGCTTTCTGAAGATGGATGGACAGATTATGTTTTTGGTTCACAGGCTGTAATCAATTAATATATGAAAATGTTAATGTCAGTTTAACCTGGTGAAATATAAGCATTTGTTTTCTTAACTAGATCACACATACTTTGAACATTCCAAAATTATATTATTATATATATTAGAAATATATATAAAAATTATATTATAAAAATTATATATATTAGAGTAGAGAGTAAGCGTGTACAGGCTGCAAAACAACAAGTAAAGGTTAATTCCATGCTGAAAAATAGAAAGGAGAGAAACAATGTTTGGGCTGTTAAGCCTTCTCCAGGAGTGTCCCAGAAGGATTCTGTCTGAAATTCATCACCTTTTCTTTTGGTTCTGATGTATTCTGTATCAAATCTCAACAACATCTTCAAATGCTTTCCCGGAAAACTCATACTTCCTACTATCTTGTCCCTTAAAAAACAGATTGAACCATGCCAACAGTAAAATCCAAGAAGTAAACAATGTTTTACAACAAGCCTCTCTCCAATAAATCTGATAATGAATCCTCTTTTATTAACAACCTCTTCAGATCCCTTAATTCCAGTCTTTACCACTTCCTCTGTATGGATAAGGACTTCTCCCAGGGTTACTGGCAATAGCAAGATCCTTAAACCTACAGCACACTACTCACCTCCCCGTTCTGTGAGGGACCCCGACTGTCAGCGGGGGTCTCGGGGGGCTCTCCTTCAGCTCCAGCCATATAGGACCCCGACATGGAGGAGATAGTGTCGGTACTGAGCTGGGAGTGGTGGCTCTGGGAGGAGGCCATGGACATCACTGACTGGGCCAGACTGCTGCTCACGGGGTCTGCCGAGGAACATACAGAGCCCT